TTTAATTTTTTAAATAAGTAATAATTAAATTATATATAAAATTTTATTTGATTATTTAATGTTTTTTTATTTGATTCTTTTTAAAAATAATCTAGCTCCGCACCTGTGTAAAGTTGATGTGAAAAATAAAAATTATTATATATTTATGTCAACATGTTACGAATAAATAATATTTTAATTAAATTTATTATTATATTATTAATTATATAAATTTTTTAATTTAAAATAAAATATAAAAATTTAACTAAATATAATAAAAAATAAAAAATATTTATTTTTTAAAAATATTATAAAAGATATTAGACCTTTGAACTTTCTAGTTTCAATTAAATATAATAAAAAAATAAAAATTTATTTAATTCCCGTGGTGGCGTTGGGCCTTCAGTGCTGTGCTTTATTGGCAGCTTAAAAGACTTTTGAGGTTGAATCGGCGAAATGTAGAACACTTTAATCCAACAGGAAACACTAGCGGTCTTTTCGGTATTTGCTTTCAGTGTTAATAGTCTTCTCATTAATGGGACGGTAGAGTAACGTACGGTCTTAAATCTTGCTATCACATGTACCGGAAAGGAAAAACAAGAAGTTGGGTCCCGTTCAGCGTTTGTCCCTAGCAGTACAGAAGCTAGTTTGAGCCGTAAAGGAATTGGCGTGATGAATTCGTCACGCAAAGTTGGGCTGTGACCATGACTTTTCAATAGCTAACCCTTGCCTTCCCCGTTTCTGCAAGAAATATCAAGGAGCTTTGGAGCGGCGGTCAATTTCTTTTGGAGATTTTGTTGACTGAGAAACTGAGAAACACAAATAACGCCGATTGTGTGGTTGATGTCTGAACACTTTGTGTTATAGGCCTTGAATTGTCTTTTCGAGTTAAAAACGGGAATTCATAATTTACAAATTTATTTTTTATTTTTAAATTTAAAATCACACACAATTTAATCCTTACATCGAAAATAACAAAAAATTTCTCCTATTAACTAATAAATCATGGAAACCGTAAGTTATTACGGACCAAATATTTAAGATCGTTTAATCGAAATAGGCCAATGTATATAAAAAAATCATAAGAAATTTAAGTACACACCACATAGCTTTTGTGGGAGGCTGTACATGTATTGTGGCGACTAATTACTACTAAAAAGTAAAAATAAGTTTAGTACAAGTCAAACAAAATAAAATATATGGATGAATAAAATATCAATGCGACTTATTCTAGAAAGAAGACCACACCACCTGCAAAGACTTAATAAATAATGATGCCATCTAATTACATCCCTTCCACAAAGAAGAACCCTGAAAATTTCTTTTGCCAGAGGTTGGTGGCGTCAGTTTCCCCGACTCAGAAGATTGTCAATGTACATGATTATGGGCTTGGAGCCATCTTTGTTTTTATGACTTGTAGCGGAGGTTTTATTTCAGCCCCACATTCGGACAGCACCACCATACATTAGAACAAGCAACGAGATAGAACAAAACTCGCCACAGTTTAATTGCCCTTCCTGACCAAAATACGCTAATCGCAACTGGTCAAAAGTCCTTGTCCGGTCAGTAGATTATTTTAAAGAATCCAATTGCCTCTTTTCCCCCTCATGGCCAGCCCGGGAACTTTCTCCGACGAACCATTGACTCCCGCTGGCCGCCTTTTTCTTCAGCCACAAACAAACATCATCATCCACTGTATCCTCCGTGGCAAAAACCCCATTGACATTGATGCTGTAAAATCGACTCTTAGATCTTCCTTGATGGTCCAGCACCCCAGATTCTGCAGCCTGTTAGTTCGTGACAAAAACGGGTTTGAGCACTGGAGAAGAACCCAGATGGACATTGACCAACATGTCATCGTCATCAATAAACGGCTCGATAAATCAGGCAATTTCCTGGACGAAAGTCGATGTTTTAGCAGTGAAGAAGAAGGAGAAGGAGATGATGATGAAGCAGCACTGAATCAGTATGTAGCGGATTTATCAGTGAGCAGTCCTTTAAGTACGGACAAACCCCTGTGGGAAATACATATCTTGGTGCCACACCAGTGCGCTGTGGTCAGGGTTCATCATGCTTTAGGGGATGGGATCTCCTTGATGTCCATGTTGATGGCCAGCTGCAGGAGGGCAGATGATGCAGATGCGCTTCCCAGGATGGTTCCCGAGAAGAGTGCGGAATTTAAGGGCGGAAAAGGAAGGGATTGGTTTTGGTTGTTTCGTACTCTGTGGGGGTTTTTGAAGATGGTTTGTTTCACTGTGATGTTTGTGATGGAGTTTGTGGTCAGTAGTTTGTTGGTTTGTGACAGGAAAACGGTGATTACAGGTGGCGCCGGAGTGGAGCTCTGGCCCAGGAAACTTGCTACTGCTAGGTTCTTGCTTGAGGACATGAGGGTGGTGAAAAAGGCTATTCCCAATACTGTAAGTAACAAAAATATTACTGTTCCACAACTCTAGAACAAAAACATTACTCTTCAATAACTCAGGTTTTATGTTCTTACTCAATAACTCTGGTTTTAAGCCTCCATAAACTCTTATTTACTATTTACGGTTTATATTTAGGGGGAAATTTGACTCTGAATCCTGGATTTCTGCGCCTGATTTGAAAGCCAATTACTCTTGAGTTGTTACTAAATCAGATTTATTGGGTGTTTAATTTTTTTAAAACACTAATTCTCCAATCAAGATTCTCATGAATGTTTCAAGCTAAATTTTGTACTGAGTAGATAGTTAATGTCATTATCACAACTATAATCATGTTGAGGATGGCTATACGTCTCTTTAACATTTTGTAATTGACCTTGAGAATTTGCCTCTTTCTAATGTGGGTGGGCGGCGGGAGAACTTGTAAATGGTGAAAATATTATTCTTTTAGTTTAAATAGCTTGTCCTTATATTCTACTATACTGGAAAAGATTAGTTATTCGATAGGTTTAATCGCATATAGAAGTTAGACCGTTGATCATTTCGTGGATTAATGTTTCCAATAGGACACTTTAGCAATTAGTATTTGAGATTGCAATCTGAAGGTTTCTGGTTCACATCAAGGTGAGGTTGTCAAATGTGCATAATTTTTTCTATTAATATCTAACAATGCTACAACTTCCCGTTCTTATGCAAAAATGCAGACCATTAATGATGTTCTTTTTGGGGTGGTGTCATCGGGGCTATCAAGATACTTAGATCACCGAACACCAAATGGTAAAGTTTGTTTATGAAAGACAATGATTACTCTGCCCAATATTTCTAGAAGTAATTTGACTTGAATGTTTGTTGTTAGCCTTGCACGAGGGCCTTCGTATGACAGGGGTAGCTATGGTTAATTTAAGAGCACAAACAGGTTTGCAGGTCAGTTTTGGCTTTCTGATTTCGTACGCCTCAGCAACATTTTGAAAAATTTGCATTTGCCCCTTTTTTTTGTGTTAAAAATTCATTGGAATCTGGCATCCTATGGCTTGGATGATGACTTGTCTTTGTCAGGACCTATCCAAATTAATGAAGGGCGCTGCAGAAGCACGATGGGGTAACAAATTTGGTGTGATTCTCCTTCCTGTTTACTTTAGGAAAGCTGGTAACAATCCTTTACAGTATCTGAAGAGAGCAAAGACGATGGTTGACAGGAAGAAACACTCTCTGGAGGCTTACTTCTCATACAGAATCGGGGACCTTGTAACGTCACTGCTAGGATCAAAGGTGGAATAAAACAAAAATGACAATGATACCTGAGAAAACAATGAGATTTCTTGTCTACTAACCGCATTCTTTGTGAATAATTTTCTTATTTCTTTCGTGTTGCAGTATGCCTGTTTGCTTAATTACAGACTCCTCTGCAATACTACCTTCACGATCTCAAACTTAATCGGCCCTCTAGAGGAAATCACACTTGCAGGCAACCCCATCACTAGCATTAAGGTCAACACATCCAGCCTACCACAGGTACAACATCCCATCTTGAAATTGATATTATCAGTGGGATTTCTGAAAGTAAAAATTGTTACTATGATACTACATGATATATTTATGAGTTTTGCCTGTTGTTAATGCAGGCTATCACAATGCACATGTTGAGCTATGCTGGTAGGGCCGAAATGCAAATTCTTGTAGCTAAAGATATCATCCCGGACCCAGAGTTTCTGGCTAAATGCTTTGAAGATGCCTTACTTGAAATGAAGGAGGCAGTAATAGGGACCGAGAAAGAATAGAAGAATATTATTAGTGTACAAGGAAAATTCTTCATGAATTTTCTGTTCAGAAACAGAAAAATTCAAGGGAATTTTTTCTTTTTTACGTCCTTTGTTCTCACAAGCAAAATTCAGTACCAGAATTCTCTGTTCAGTACCCAAAGAAGTATAACCAAGGATGCCTCTACATGTCCACTTCTGTTCAGAATATAACACAAAAAAAATAAAAATTAACAAATGGCTTCCTTCCTGGGCCTTTCTTATAAATCAAATATAAAACCCTTTTGTCAGCAAACAGTAATATTCTCCAATGGTGGCCGACTTGCTTTATATTCAAAAGATGCGTTGTTGTAGTTTCCGTTGCAGAATATTTAGCATTTGATTTTTCTCACTACTTGTATTGATGGGACCAAACTAAGCGAACCCATCATTTACAAATCAAGGTTATGATATTGACATTAGCACTATGGGGAAACACAATTTTCGTTGGAGCATTTGTTGTTCATTAAAAATTCTTTTACCATGAAAGGTTTTAATGGAGCAAATATAGCAAATTGTAGCAAAAGATTAAAAATATAGAAAATTGATTCCCCGCAATAGGTATAGGCCGACGGAGATGCCTATTTGGGTTCAAATCATATGATGTTTATTTGGGTTTAGTACGTACCTAACTTTATACTGAATTAGTAGTGTTGGAAAGTTCGTCATTGGTCATAAGGTTAGAGCTTGATGGTACGTAGGATTCTAACCAAAGTCATTAGAGGCCTTATCCATTTCCTTGGCCAGGAATGCAAATAATGGTATTAAAGATAAATTTATTGTTTTCTTTTGCCAAAAAATGCCACTTTCACAAGGAAAAGAAAATGCAAGAAAGGGCAAAACCTCGACAGCAATTATGTATGGTCGAGGTTTTATGTCCGGTTGGTTGGACGTCTTATCTTATTCTCTGCAAACAAAAGTAAGCTAAGATTTGTAACTAGCTGAGGCAGTTACACCACTTCGCAGTCCACAGATAGAAAAGCAACATGAGGGCGGGAGTGGTGGGAGTGGTGCACAGAACTCCTTGTGCTACCTCACTCCCTCTTCGCCACGTTAGAGCCAGGGCAACATGTTCTTCTTCCTCCGGTAAATCATAACACCCATCATCATCCCTTTTTCATTTCTCAGCTCTTCTTTTATTTTGCATTCCATCTCAACTTCAATTTTGCTTGTAAAATGAAAATGCTAAAGCTATTCCATGTTTTCATGTCAGCTTATTTGTTTCGCAAATGGGTCCATTTTACTTTCTTCCATTAAATTAACCACTGGGTATATGTATGCAAGTAATTAAGATTAGCTGTTACTACTGGATTGCTTGTTCTTGTGTTTGAAGCAAAGTCTTAAATGCTTATGCACAAATCAGTTGGATTGATTTCAAGTTGTCAATTAAATTCGGTTTGGGAAGAATGGATGGGAAGTGAAGGCAAAGGGTAGCTAGTTTATTGGAAATGTTAAGTAGTTGTGATAAATAATGCACAATCAGACCCCGATTTCTAACTAGTCAGTCAAACTAAATTCCAGTTAGTTGTGAACCTCGCTTGAGCAAGTGGTTCAGTTGTTCTTTTCTTTCAAAATATTCTTGGGCTTGTTGAACTTGGGTATATAAGCGTTTAGTGAACCAAATGCAGGCCATATATCATTCATTAAGGATGTAGCTGCCACTCGACCACCTGAGAATCTTCATCACTTGCTTAAAGTGCTTCAAACTAGAGGTGCGCGGCAGTTAACCTCTTCAATACAAAATTTTGCAATTGATTGATTCAATTTGTGTTCTTTCTAAAGTTTAAACCATTCACTGATTACATGGTAAAATTGGAGGACAACATTATGATTATTTCTTGTCAATTGCTCCCTGATATAAGATATTCCAGTTTGTATCTGTGCATGTGTGCGGGTCTTGTGCAGATTGGTTCTCTGATCATATGTTAATACTAACAAACTGATTGCTTATTGTGTGATCTGCTATTCTTATCCTAGTTAACTGGGGGTATTAGAACTCTCATGTTTCGAGATGATTACTTCATGGTAACCTGTTACAAAATGCTTAGTAAATTATATTTAAGAGATTTCTCACTGGGCTTTAGATTTGATCTTCTTTCTTTCCTATCATTCCATCTCTAAAATCAGTCACAATGAGTTGGACAAAGACTGATCTTTGGCTCCAGAACATGCGTTCCTGAAAATAGAAAAGCTTCTTCTTACTTCCACATGTATGCCACTTGAACTCCTCTCATCTTGCATGTGCTCTGTATACAGGCGAAAGCATATGTTCTCCAGGATCAAGGCATGGGTTAATCCCCCTTGCCATTCCTCTTTCAGAAAATTTGTCAGGTTAGATAAAATTTTGCTCATTTTTTCTGTAAAATATGTCAATTATCAGTAGCTTTATTATGGAAGTGGAGAGACTAGTATGTAACGTGCCATTCCTTGAGAATAGGTGCTGTAACTGCTTTGCTGCGGTGGCCAACAGCTCCACCTGGGTAAGAGACTTAAACTGTCATGTTGTTCTATTGACTTTCTGTTCTAAAAACATATGAATGTATGCATTAAGTTTTCATTGCCTTGATTTATCTTCATGCAACTGTTGCTATTCACACAGAATGGAGATGCCAGTTGTGGAAGTTCGCAAGCATGGGGTGTGGCTTTTAGCCAACAATGTAATACATTTAAGCTGAAAGCTTGCATTAGAAATGAATGGGTTATAATTGATACTGAACCACCCAGCATTTTGGAATTTACACTTGTTGGATTGATAAATTGGAGTTGAACAAGTAGCACATAGCTCAGAGCTCTTTTTCTCAGAACCTACGCATATGTGGACATATTAACTCATTATTTCTAGCTTTTGCAACCCAGGTTGATCAGTTTATTCATCGACTCCTAGTTGAGGAAGATGCCAATAAATTACATGGAAGTAATGGTGAATTATTTCATGCTTCATCTGACGCTGGCCAAAACCTCTATACAAGGGGTGATTTTGCTGAATCACAGATCTCTAGTCTTGATGTGTATATCTTAAAAAAGGTACATAAAACAGTGTATGAGATAGTCCTGCAGTCAAAAATGAATTGTCTAAGTTCAGTGTTCAAAATAAGACGATTAATGGTGGCAAAATCATTGTTCTGCCTCCAGGTTGGGCTGTTTCCAGATGTTTTGGAGCGTAAGGTTGTGCGACATTTTGAGGAAGGGGATCAAGTAAGAAATGTCTGGCTTTGGTCCCTAGTATTAGATTGTGTGTGTGTGTGTGGTTATGCTAATTTCTTTTTGTCCCTTTTTGACAACTATGGGTGGAAGGTTTCAGCTTTGGTGACAGGGGAATTCTATACAAAGAAGGACCTCTTTCCAGGATTTGGAAGGCCTTTTGTATTTAACGCAGAGGTTTTACTTAAGTGAGTAGAAAGATTTTATAATTGCATGTGTAATATTCTGAACTTCAATGTGGTTCTCTTTTAAAGAGGATTTCCTAAATTCTTATATGTAGAGTAGGGCGTACATCAGAAGCAAAAGATTCTGCAAGGGTGGCTTTGAAATCACCATGGTGGACTCTAGGCTGTGCATATCAGGCATGAATGTTTCTTGATCGTCAATATATTCCTTTTGGATATAACCCATCGCCCTTATTTAGACATTCTCTTCCATGGATGTTTTGTGATCAGGATGTTGCCGGCATTGCACGATGGGAGGATGAGCAAATTGAATACATCAAAGAGAAGGTGACAGAGGAAGGTAGACAAGAAGACCTGAAGAAGGGGAAGGCTCCTGCCCAGGTAACATTGTGGCAGAACAATATTCAACCATTGGTGCAAGGAAAAATACTTGTATGGGCTAAAATCTTATGGATTGTTAATTTTAGTTAATTCTGAATCCACTCTCCAGGTTGCATTGGATGAGGCTGCTTTTCTGTTGGATTTAGCTTCTATTGAGGGAACCTGGGGTGACTATGTGGACCGCATTGCAGAATGTTACAAAGAGGCTGGTCTCAATGAAATTGCAGATTTTATTTTGTATAGAGATTGATGAGTAGCGAGAAACCAATGGTCAAGAAGTTGACTGTTGCCAAATGTTGAATGACTTTATTCAGATAGAGGAGAATAATATGTTTTTTTTTTTTTTTTTTGAGAAACCATTGTTGTATAGAGTGAGACTGGGAAAGCATCCTAATGTTCTCAACTGTAAGCCACGAAAGAAGTTTACACTTGATAGGTTGACTTTGAGAACGGTATTGGTTTCTTACTCACTTAAGACTTGCTAAATTGGCTTGCTGTAGCGGTGGCTGTTCTTATGGTTCTGAGATTAACATAATATTGTTTTTTTGTCTCTCTCTCTTCTATCTATGTTTTCTTCTCCCTGCTGCTTGCTTAAGGTTGGGGAATGTTTGTAATGTTTTCCAAACTGAACTGAAGAATTTCCGCTCATAGGATATGGTAGTGCTTAAACTTTGCCATTAAACGAGACTTAGCAAGTTTCATAGCTTCTTATTCTTCCAGTAAAGCATGCTTAACCTTCAGGTAGTTTTGAGTTTCAGTTAGCATTAGGAGCTAGTTCTCCCTCATTCCAGTTTAATTTGGAGAAAGCCATTAGAGCGGGCAGGCACATATCTCATAAAATCTAGAAGTACACAATCTTGGTCAAAGAAAATTTGATGATCAAATGTCACAAATGATAGTTCTCTGGTTAAAGCCACTGACTCAAACTGTAGTTATTCTGGTTTTCAAACACCCTCCAACCCAGAAATATACATAAGCCATATTAGGATACTATACACCTCTCACTCTCTCCCATATTATGAATTTTGCAGAAAGGACTATGAGGCTACAAGCTCTCACCACTCAGTAATTAAGGTGGAAAAATCAAACAAAAAACCAATCCCCACACTATGAAAACTACCAGTGTATTATCTTCAGTGGCCGTGTCTTCACTCCCTATCACCAGGGAGTTTTCACCTAGCCTCTTCACCTTTTCCAGTCACTAGTCAGTCTTTTGGTAATGAGATTTCTTACTGTAAGCTTTCTTCCTTCTCAACAGCAGCCTCCTTAGCAAACCAACTCCTTGCTTCTTGCTTGGCACGATAGCCAAAGCCATAACTGCAGTGTTAGTACCTTCCTTCTTGGAACCAACATGTGCTTCTGACGTATGTACCACCAAACCAGAAGCTTGCAAGTTCTTACAATTATTGGAGTCAGGAAGGGATGAATTCTCTGCTTCTCCAACGCTTAAAGTTCCTTTAAGATTGGGAGACTTGAGAAACTCTGCTTTAGAACCATCCTCAGCTAGCATTCGATCACGCAAGGAGAAGCGTCTGTTCACCTTTCTGTTATTCATTACAGTGGTGGCAGCACCACTGCTGGAGAAAACCTTGTCAAAGAGTGCTGCATCTTGTGGTGAGGCTAACACCTTTAATTGCTTACCTAGGTTCAGAATTGTTTCTTGGCACTCTGCCAACTTCACTGAAGCTGCTGTAATTTCCCAACCCTGCATGTTGGAAAAGCAGAATACATACTCAGTGTTTGATATCTATTTTCCATTTTCAATTGCATTTGTTGGTCATGTGTTTACAGAAAGTTGAACTCAATATATAACAAAACCTTTACTCAAAATAGAAAGATCAGCATTTTACATGATCTTGCCAAAGCTATATGTCAGAAAAAAACCAAATATCAAATCAAGTATGTACATTCTATGATTTTCATATTGAGAGAATAAATCAATAAATAGATAAACAGATTCTACAAAAACTAGTTAGTTCAATTCCCAAGGCATGATGTTACCATTCTGAGAAGATTATAATCAAACTTTAGTATTTCAGGCATGTAGACAGTCTTTTCTAATAGAGGAGAAATAGGCAAAAATGTGAATGACTTACATTTTGAGATTGCTTCCCCTCTCGATTCATGACATACTTTGGTGTTTCTTTCCTTGCCACACTGTGAATTTTATGTTTCAGAAATCAGAACTATATTTACGTGTTCCTTTAGTATTGACAGGAAGTAAAACTAAGAAATGGAATTTTACCTCTCTAACTGGAGTTGAAGCTCAAGACATGTAGCTTCTAGCTCTTCACAACAGTTATTTTTGTACTCCAACTCTACTTCCAAAGATGAGCACTTCTGGAAGATTTCATTCAGTTTAGCTTTTGCAACAGTAATCTGGGTATCAAGATCTTCATTAATTGATTTCTGATTTTCAACCTGATCCTCAATCATTTCCTTTGTTTCTTTTAATATTTTAAGTTCTGTTTGTAAGCTTCCAATGCTTTGTTCTGATTCATTAAGTTGTACAGTCAAGGCCTCACTCTTGTCAGTTGCTGACTCCAGCCTGGCTTCCATATTCTTTAAATCATCATTTAATCTCTTGTTTTCTTCTTCCAAGCTACACCGAATACCCTCCTTTTTGGAGATAACATTCTGATTCTGGTCATGTGAAGAAGCAAAGGAGCCTAAGCATGATGATTGTTCTTCAGAAATATGGATCACGTCTGGTTCCAGTACTAAAACATTCCCTTCGGAACCAACTTCTTTATCATTTTGTGATTCAATCCAACCAAAATGCCTTTTGATCTTATCCCTTGCACTTGAGGCTTCCTTAGGAGTAACACAGTTGTTCAAAATCCAGTCCAAAGCAAATGAGAGTTCTCCAGCAAAATTTTCAAGATCAGCCCTTTTATTCAACAGATCATTGCAAGTGCGAAGAAATTGTTGTAGAACAGTGCTTAATTCAGAACTTTTCCATTGAAAAACACGGACAAAGTAATCTGCATGAGCTGCTGCTTGTTTGGGACTTTGATCTCTCTCTAGACAACTGGCAGAGGTATTGTAAGATGTTAGATCAATTCCTTCAATCAGCTCAACGATTTTAGAGATTGACTTGCCCAGATTGGATTGAAACTGTTGCTTCTTTGTTTTTTGTGCTGAGTTCTCAACACTAGAAGCTCCACTGAGTGAACCTACAGAAGGAGATGTGTTTGGAGATTTCCAGCCTATGTAGCCGCTGATATGGAGAGCATCAGATTCTATTGGATGCATTGAGCATGCTGTTTTACTAACATCACCATCAGTTAAAAGAGTGCTACAACCCAAAGCAATTTTGATGTCCTCGAGAATTTCATCTAAACTTCGGTTGGAAATACGTTTGTGCTCGGAGATAGCATGCAAAACAACCTGAAGCCAATCAAAAGATCTTTCAGCTGCTACATCTCTTGAGTGGATCTGTTTTGCGTTGCTGAAACCACAGTGACCCTGCCCAAATGGAAGCAATCCCTCACCATCTGATAGTGGATTATATCCACCTCCAGAAACCAAGGCTAATTTTTCCATCTCGACAAAATCATCCATTAATCTCATTTCTGGAACTGTAATCGCCTTGTGTTCCATTGGATTCCTAAGTTTTCTGTCTCTAGAATGTGCAGATTCTGAAATCAAAGCATTAGCCCATGAACAAGAAGAGCTAATTCCATCAATACTGCCACTATCAAAACCTGATGTTTGAGATAGTTCACTAGATATTGGACTACTCCTTAGCAGTTCCATGGAGTTCTGTCCTGTAAACAGCTTTTTAGGCTGAATCTCAACCTGTGTTGGCCTCGATAATGTTTGAGAACATACTAAACTTGATGACTGGAGTTGAGCATTTTTCTTGGTCATCATTTCTTTGAGAGTCCTGTTTTCTTCTTCCACATTGCGTAATTGCTCTAACAGGAGATTGATGTTCTTGGTTGGATTACCAGGAGAATTTTCAGTGGCAGAGTCTCTGATAATCAAATCTCTAGTGGAAATCAACTTTCTTCTTCTCAGCTCCGTCTTGTCCCTCCCCAGCATTTCAACTTCATTCTTCATTTTCACGACAGCAGCGGGACCAGGCAGCCTCTTTTGCAGAAGGAGACGTAACTTCTGGCATTCTGCTTCCAACTTTGCAATTTTCTTTACACCATCCAAATGTTGCTTATGTGCTAAGTCAGCTGATCGACGGTTGTATTCCATCTCTTCATTTCGGATCTCAAGCTCCTTCTCGAGGACATGAAACTCATATTTCAAAAATGTATTTTCTTTTTCAGTGAAATCTAATCTAGCCATTAGTGCACCAAATTCTGCTTCTGCCTGAGACTTGTGCTTCTGCTGATCTTCAATCAATTTTTCTTCGACTAGCAGGGCCTTACTCAGTCGAGAATTCTCAACCACCAACTCTTCAAACCTTCTGTTTGTCTCTGTCAGCTTGTCTTGTAATGCTTCCTGTGCTTTCTCAAACTCACTTGATGTCTTCATGATAACATCACGCATCCTTTGCTCCTGCTCTTCTCGAAAAAAATTTAGCTGTTGCATACATTCCTTCAATGCAGCATCTGAGTGAGTTAACTTTTCATTTGCCAATTTTCCCTGCCTCAAAGCTTCTTCTAGCTCTTTCTTCAGAAAGATTGCATCTGCTTCTGCCTTTTCCCAACCTAGAAGAAACTTCTATTCATTAGATCATAGACAAAACAAAGTGCACATGCAAACAAATTAAGAAATGTTTTCCACTGATAATGTGATTTGTTAGGGTAGCTTTTTGACAGAGGAAAAGAGGAGGAGAAAGGATAAAAGCAAATCACCTGCATCTGCTTCTGGTGCCATTTTCACATTTTTTGTCACCAGATCTTCTTGAGCATGACAATCAAGGAGGACTGAAGCAAGCTTCTCATTTAGATTTTTCACTATTCTATCTCGTGGCCCCTCCATCGGAGGCATTTGTACCTAGTATAGAAAAATATTGATCCATGATTCATTGGCATAGATCATATGCAAGGATCATAAACATCTCTAAACAAGAAATTAAGACAAGGGAAAATAAAAGAAAAGAAAACATGTGGAGGAAAGTAGAGGTTTTCATTACCTCTTCATCAATTCGTTTCAAAGACATGTCAACCTTGTCAGTAGCAACAATTGTCTTCTCAGAAGATTTTTTCCGCCAAAGCCACGTTTTGTGGTCCATGATATCAAATCCTGTTTCAGAACCAAAATGAAGAACAAAGAATTGTAATGTTATCAACTTAAAGCAGTCATACAGTATGCTGTTGAAAGAATCAAGCTAGCAGCTTAACTCAGCAATGTATAAACTGCAGAAGTAAAGCCAACTACTGAAAGAAACAGTCTTTGTCATCTAGATTTTAGTTGTCAGATTGAAAGAGAGAGCTCATTATGCTGTGTTCAAATAGAATTAAATCATTAGTGCATTATGAACAATTTTCTTCCTCTGATAAAATTATTATAAGAGGTGGCAGTAAATATATGGCTACTGAGATCTGCAAACATGCACATGATAGTGACAAATTCTGAATCTTGTGTACCTGGCTATGAAAGTAAAGAAAGCAGAAACAATATTCAGAACAAACGCCAAAAGGATTTGACTAAATCCGAGCATTCCCAGATACTTCATACAAAATTTCACTCACCACAGTGTCCTAAAACAGGTAGGTGCAAAATAAATCAATCATTATAACAGCATTGAAAGGGGATTGTCTGCATCTCTGCATCTCTAGACGCATGCCTTCATTAAGGGATTAATAGACTGGACTAGGGAGTACCCAAATTCAACAAAACACTACAAATAACAGAGAATGAACTTCACTCGCAGAATGTAAGTCGGAGACAACATAGATGCCAAGAGGACCAACATTCATTGGCAACTAAGAAATTCTTTTCTTGCTGTTAAAAGAAGAAAATTACTAAATTTTGGTCTAAAAAAGCATAAAATATACCTTCCAAATACTACACCATGCAGTACATATTTACCATCTTTAACAGATCAACTCACTAACTGGTGCCAGAACATGCATCTTAAGAAGGAAAAATTACTCAATTGACAGCCTTAAAGAAAATTTATAAGAACACCAATTGTTCTAAATCAAATGTAAAATGGAAAAAACAAAATGTGATGCTCAACTTTTGCCATGTACACAATGATCTTACTTAGTATGAAAGCGACTTTGGTTTGTGATCTAGACACTGTCAACACTCTAACATGACACATCAATTCTCATGCATAATCATAAACAAATCCAACTTAAAGCAAAACCGCAAGCTTTCAAGTGGGGGAAAGAAACTAAATAAATAAACAAAGAAGAGAGAGTAGTTAAAATATTTATTCGCTCTCACTTATGCTTGTGCAGAATCAAGTTGTTTAAACAACAGCTAGCTCAGTGCTCAACCACCATTACAGCAAGAAAATCGCGAAGGGAATTATTTAAATAAATAAACTGACACTGAAGTGAAGCGAGAATTATTGTAGCTCAAATTACCAACCACATAAAACCCAGAAACCAGAAGGACACGGGAGATACTATGTTTGGACTTAAGGGGCAGTTTTTTTGGTCATTTTAACATAGGATGCTACGACCCACCGACAACCTACCAAAGTTACTTATAACACATGTTAACAGCAATAATGATGGAGGAGGAAAAGACAAAACATAATAAAAAAAAAAAGGAAACGATGGAAAAATGGTGAATGTCAGTCATAAAGAGACGAGCGGTGATAGAGGGAGAAAAATTAAAGGGGTAGAAAATGTTATGCATGAGCAATCAATTGGGAGACCAACTAAAGTAGAAAGTGCCATAAAAATGGAGTCGTCCTCCTGCAGTGGGTTCTTGGATTTTCATAAAAGAAACGTGACGCCACGCGCGAAGAGGGGTTTTCGTGGACACGGCCTAGCCGTTGACGAAACCTGGGGGCTCGATGTCGTCGAGCTGGGTGGCATTCACGCTCGTTAAAGGACGCTTGGATGGGTGTGTCATAATGAAAGTTGGGATATCATGATAATGTTTTGGGGTCGGATATTTTATATAATTTTTGCTTTACTGAAAGTATATTTTTGTTCTACTTTTCTTATCTTCTTTATTTTATGGACCTTTTTCCTCTTTATCACAAAACAGTGCACAGAACCCAAACTAATTTGGGTTAAGGCAGCCCAGACCACTGACCAGCTTGAAAACCTTACTTCTCAGTTCCCTATTGGGCCGACCTCGGATGGGTCAACTTAATTTGGGCTAAAGGCTAGTTGTTTGAGTTAGTATCGATATTAATTTTTTTTTCTTTTATTTAGGAGTAAAATATTTGAGTAATGTTTATTAATTATATTAATATTAAAAATGATTACATCCATAAATTATTAAAGGTATTTCTTGAAACTCTCTCTTATAAAGTAATAGACACTATTGATATGTTTTTCATATACTTATTAATCTTTATATTCTAGACTCTCGATTTATATAAATTTTTTTATTGTGCATAATTTAAAAATGTAGATGCACAAAACAAGAAATAATATTCTTTAAAAAAATAATTTCTTGGTAACTCAGCTATTGATTTTTAAATCAATTATAATTATGGTTATAATAATTAGATTAAACTCTTTTTTTATCATAAAAAATTCTTTAAATGAGCTTTAAATTAAGACATTGAAGACAGTGTTTATTACATAAACTTGACAATTTGTATATTTGTATTGTAATTATATCATTTTAATAGCTATATAGATAAATATGAATATGATATGATTAATTAATCGTGTCAATATCTTAAATACATATATGAATAAATTTAATAAATGTATAAGATAATACAACATAGTTAACGCGTTTATTAAATATATTGGGTTAAATTTTATATGACACAGTTGATACGATTAAAATTTATATGAAATTATGACATTGTTCACATGATTAAAACAATTGAATTAAAATATATACAAGTAAAATATGATTCTATTATTCAAATTTATTATTAAAAATTATAAATATATAATATTTATCAAATATAATAAAATTCAATATCAATAAATAAAAATATTAATATTTATATAGATTAATAAATGAATCTTAATTGTGTACTAAATGTGTTTACATAACACGTGAACACAATTAAATAAATAAATAATAAATAGATCATAAGTTATATAGATACACAATAATATTATTAACTAATCATATCTTAAACATGTTTAACATTATTAATAAATTATTTATTTGTATCTTAACAGTATTAATACAATTAATACATAAAACATAATTAATCTAAACTCAAACTCGTTTAAATTCTGTTGTGTTGTATACAAAATTGTTTAGTCTATTGCTATATATGTTGAGGGACAATGTTAAAATTGGGGTTGGTTTCTCATAAATTTGGTTTGGTTCCCTTCTTTTAAGTGTATTTTAAATTAAATGAGTTAAAAACTCTTATCCCCATTATTATTTTCCCAATTTATCCCTATTCCGAAGTCACCCATATATTCCTAATACAAATTTTAAATTTGTTCTCATAATATTTATATCACAAATTTGTTTATAGTTATTATTATTAGTATTTTTGTAAAAAGAACATCTAAATAGTACCAAAATAAAAAATACAAGATTATTAATAATAAAAATTATCTCTTTTTATTCAATAAATAAAGTTTAAAAAAACAAAACACATTCTTTTTCAATTTATCATTTTTGCATGAGATGATGGTTATGATATTTCATCTATTATTGTATATAAATCTGATTGTTAAAACATATATAAGAATTTAAATCAGTTAATATTAAACACTTGAGTTAAATTTTTTAAAAATTACAAAATTTAGGTTCAAAAATTTATTGAGTCAGTAACACTTAAACTTGAGTTGTTATAATGATAAACTTAAAAAAAAATCATGAATTTAATCAATGATTTTACTATAAAACCAAGAATTGAATCCATGCATTGATTAAAATAAAGTTTTTTTTTCTTTCACTGTTGACAGGGTTTTGAGTTTTGACCCCAAATTTGCAAATTATAAGCAGCAAGTAATAGATGAGACTTGGTAAGGCAAATTTGGTGCCCTCTTTGCGAAAATAGAATGAAACTTTGGGTTAATGAAAATCAGAAGATATTATTATTTAATATTCGGAATAAGTATTTTGATGACTAGAGAAATTGTAGGAGATAAAAAAAATACTTTAGGTTAAATATGTTGGGCAATTAAAAGACGTTAGAATTACAAATTAAAGCTCGTTGATTTTATATTTAGTCTTTTTTAACGTTAATAAATATGAAATTTATAAATGAAATATTTTATTGAAGATCACAAAAAATTAATATATATGTGTGTGATACTATAATGAAAATGAATTTATTTAAAAATATATAAAATTTTTTGATAAAGGATGGGTTTATGATTCTAAAGTGGAGACAAAAGAGCAGCCAATAACAATATTCCACGTAGCCAAAGTTTCCTTCCTACGAGTAGCCGACATATTATCCTCCAATATAAAACGAAAACCAAAAAGTGAGGGGCAAACTCGGCAGCACAATTTTGAGGGAACTCATCTCAAACTCGGCCGATCCGTCGTCACAACCAACATAAAAGGGTAACTTAAAAAGTATAAAATCACACAAGGTTCACCCGACTCGGACCCTTTCCCCCCAAACTCGCTGAGCCAACTCGCCCGATGGAGATCGCTCGCGTGGAGCCGCCTTCTCCTGCTCTGGACGGCGAAACCCCCACTTCCTCCGCAGCCGCCGTTATTGCGGACAGCATAAAGCCGTCGCCATCAACATCGTCCACATCGTTAGAGAAGGAAGAAAAAGCGTCTTCATCAACGGCGTTGTCGGTATCGTTGGGGCGGCGGCGAAGTATGATGCGGAGATGGAGGAGGAAGAAGACGAGGAAGACGTTTGCAGGATCTGCCGAAACCCCGGGGATGCAGAAAATCCGCTTCGATACCCTTGCGCGTGTAGCGGCAGCATCAAATTTGTCCACCAGGATTGCCTTCTTCAGTGGCTCAATCACAGCAATGCTCGCCAATGCGAGGTTAGTTTTTTTTCTTTTTTGTAATGAGTTCTGTAGAAATGATAGGTAGTTTCGTAAATTATGTTAAATCCAGTTGGGGTTTTAGGTTTTTATTTTTTAATTAAATCTCTTGCTTTGGTGTTTGAATGATGATTAACAAAGGTGATTAAGAAATGAAGACAGTTTTGGGCTTTTCTTTTATTTTCTTTTAATTCTTTTTGTTGATTACTTTATAAGAAAGACTGCCATTGAAAGTTGCAATCTTGAGAGCTTCCGTTGCTGGATTCTTGAAAAATAAAAAGGAACAACTTATTTTTTTATTGTTGTGTTGATTGCGCTAAATTATGTCTCAAAACTCAATGCTATTTGCAGTCATATGGGGAGAAGCACATGGTTTTCTGATGATTCTCATCAGTTTTGCATGATCAGAGTCTTCATTGGCTACAACTAACTTCTTTAAGTTTGAATGAATACGGGTGGCAATAATAGTTCTTGTGAAAGCACTCGAGCTTTAATTTTCCTTTTAAATGTCACTAACACATGATCAAAGACGCCAAGTTAATGCTGTTAGATATTATTCTTGAACTGTAGGTTTTGAAGGCTATAAAGCCTGCATAAGGTACATACAATCTTTCCATGTTAGTAACACATTGCAAAGCCATGTGAATGTGGTTTACAGCTTTTGAGGCAGTTAGCAGCTCTATGTTACTTTCCGTTTCCATGTTGTGAGCATGGGCTTCTCATCAAATCATATTTTCCTATGGCATTTCAATACTGGCATGTGTCAGCTAGTTGTCTACCCCTTCCTTTCTGTTTCCTTGTTTATGTCTATGCCTCTCTCCCTTTCCTCTTATTGTTTTTAAATTTTTTATTTTTTTTAAAGTTATGCTTAAAAGACATTTTTCCATGTGACTCTCTCTCTCTCTCTCTCTCTTCATTTCTTTGTTTTTAGAAAAATATTTATGCTTCAAAAGGTACATTTGCTGTGTGATTTTAATTCTTTAAGGGTTTTCTTTGCAGGTTTGCAAGCATGCATTTTCTTTCTCCCCTGTGTATGCTGAGAACGCTCCAGCAAGGCTTCCTTTTCAGGAGTTTATTGTTGGGATGGCAATGAAAGCTTGTCATGTTCTGCAGTTCTTTTTGCGCCTTAGTTTTGTACTTTCAGTTTGGCTCCTCATTATACCTTTCATTACCTTTTGGATATGGCGGTTGGCTTTTGTCAGGAGTTTTGGTGAAGCTCAGAGATTATTCTTAAGCCATATTTCCACCACAATCATTCTTACTGATTGTTTGCATGGATTCCTACTTTCTGCTAGCATTGTGTTTATTTTTCTTGGAGCCACTTCTTTGAGGGACTATTTCCGGCATCTTCGAGAGCTTGGAGGACAAGAGGCTGAGAGAGAAGATGAAGGGGATAGGAATGGTGCTCGTGCTGCTAGGCGACCCCCTGGACAAGCTAATAGGAATTTTGCTGGTGATGGTAATGGTGAAGATGCTGGTGGAGTGCAAGGCATTGGTGGAGCTGGTCAAATGATCAGAAGGAATGCTGAAAATGTGGCTGCTAGGTGGGAAATGCAGGCAGCTCGTCTTGAAGCTCATGTTGAACAGATGTTTGATGGCCTGGATGATGCTGATGGCGCCGAGGATGTACCTTTTGATGAGCTTGTTGGCATGCAGGGTCCTGTTTTCCATTTGGTTGAGAATGCATTCACTGTAAGTCTCTTTGGTTGTTTTAATTTACTGTCTGTCCTTAATCACTGGTCTTCCGATTGACAATCTCTTACCGATCTTATTTAAGTGCTTGCCTTGCCTTTTTGTTGGTGATTCTCTTGGGAACCTTTATGCGCTGAGACTAGCTTATCAACATCTCACCTTCAAAACAAAGGTGATTTGTATGTGTGTGTGTGTGCCATTGTGTGGATGTGTTGGGCGTGTTTGTGTGAATGTTTTGAGTGGCACTGGCTTTTGATGCCAAATTGGAATTAATAGCAGACTTATAGTTTGGGACTTTGTTGCACGACAAACTTGAGCAGTTTTTCAGCCCTTTTCTTGGTTGGATGCTGGATGGCGTTCGATTTGTTATATATTTAATGAAGGATACTTTCTTCATTTATCTTCCTTGTTAGAGAGTGCAATTCTTGCCTCTATTATTGTTCCTTTAAATGGTTCCACTTCCAAAATACCGACATTAGATGGCAGTGTATTGCTATATAATTTTATGCATGACTTTGACGCTAGTTATAATCTTATAATTTTATGGTTGTTCCTTTATATGGTAATACTTCAAACTGTGTGATGTCAGCCAGGGGTCCAGATCTCCATTATGTGTAGAATTAGCACAGTTATTGAGATATGCTAATGATATTTTTTCCTTAAAAATTTTATTGTTTTAGAGCTATAAATTTGACAATCTGCAAAACTCTAGATACTCAGAAAAGAAACAAAATTCAGATTTGGCCTTTTTCCCTTGTTAACATGAGATTCTTGAATGACTTAATGATTGATTCTTGCAGGTTCTAGCGAGCAATATGATATTCCTTGGTGTTGTCATTTTTGTGCCTTTTTCTCTTGGCCGGATTATTCTCTATTATGTATCTTGGTTTTTCTCATCTGCAAGCGGTCCTGTCCTCTCAGCAGTCGTGCCTCTGACAGACACTGCCCTTTCCTTGGCAAATATCACATTGAAGAATGCATTAACTGCTGTTACGAATTTAACATCTGAAGGCGAAGAAAATGGCATGCTTGGCCAGGTTGCAGAAATGTTGAAAGCAAACTCTAGTGGAATAGGTGAAGTTTCAAGCAACACAAGTGCACCATTTTCAGCTGATCTCTTGAAAGGATCAACTATTGGAGCATCAAGGCTTTCTGATGTTACAACTCTTGCTATTGGATACATGTTTATATTCTCCTTAGTCTTCTTCTACCTGGGTATTGTCACTTTGATTAGGTACACTAGGGGTGAGCCTTTGACAGTGGGGAGGTTCTATGGTATTGCTTCTATAGCTGAGACAATTCCGTCCCTCTTCAGGCAGTTCTTGGCAGCAATGAGGCATTTGATGACAATGATTAAAGTTGCATTCCTGCTTGTAATTGAGCTTGGAGTGTTTCCTTTGATGTGTGGATGGTGGCTAGATGTATGTACTATAAGGATGTTTGGGAAATCAATGTCTCAAAGAGTTCAGTTCTTCTCAGTTTCACCTTTAGCAAGCTCATTGGTTCATTGGGTTGTAGGAATCGTATACATGCTACAAATAAGCATCTTTGTCAGCCTTCTTCGAGGGGTACTGCTCTTGACCATTCTATGATATCAACTGTTTTATGTGGTAATCATGGTCTTGTTGTAATATTAGTCTGTTAATATTCTTTTTCTTGTCATGGGCAGGTTTTACGTAATGGAGTTCTGTACTTTCTTCGAGATCCAGCTGATCCAAACTATAATCCCTTCCGTGATTTAATTGATGATCCTGTACACAAGCATGCTCGGAGGGTGTTATTATCTGTTGCAGTATATGGGAGTTTGATTGTGATGCTGGTATTTTTGCCAGTCAAGCTTGCTATGAGGATGGCACCCTCTATTTTCCCACTTGATATATCGTAAGATTGGCGCATACCTTTACCTTTTCCTTCAATTATATATACTTCTTGTTAACTTACATTTAAATAATTTGCTTGTTGCAGGGTATCGGATCCATTTACTGAGATTCCAGCTGACATGCTTCTCTTTCAAATATGCATTCCATTTGCCATTGAGCATTTTAAACTGCGGACAACAATCAAGTCTCTTCTCCGCTACTGGTTTACTGCAGTTGGCTGGGCATTAGGCTTAACCGATTTTTTACTTCCCAGACCTGAGGAGAGTGGTGGCCAGGAAAATGCCAACGGGGAACCAGGACGGCAGGATAGACTACAGGTTGTGCAACTAGGTGGACAGGAACGGGCCATGGTTGCACTTGCAGCTGGTGATGATCCAAATAGGGGCCTTCTTGCATCAGGAATCTCCAATGTTGTGGAGGTGTTTGACGGGGACGAACAATCGGATTCAGAGTAAGTTATATGGTGCTTTTGATTTACAATGTTACAAAATGGGTCTGATTTACATTGTGGTGTCATTGCATTCGTTGAAGTTACCTTAGCTTTTATAGTTTTGTTTGTTTGATGGTATTTTTGCATGCACCTTTGCTCTAAGATTGTAGATTCATGATGTGGAATTTGTGGGTTTGGCTTATGCAATTAACATAAAAAAGATCATTTAACATTGAATTTGCACTTAGAAGGCAGTTATTCTTGTTGATTGATATTGTATAGTTTGTAAATGCAAGAGATTTTAACTACTTATTTTGTTTAGACACGTTAGAACGATATGAATGTCATATAGTAATTCCTTGGACTGTAATCACATTAGATCCCTTGGCTATAATGTGATTGCATTTTAATCTTACATTGCAGTGGTTCGTTGCAAAACAAACATTGTAATGTAATTTAATTAAACATATTGTAGAGAATCTGCTCTTATTTCTTTCATATCAAACGTTATCTAAGATTTGTTGATGCATTCTTTAGCAGGTATGGCTTTGTACTTCGCATTGTTCTCTTGCTGGTGGTTGCCTGGATGACTTTGCTTATCTTTAACTCTGCCTTGATAGTAGTACCAATATCACTTGGACGTGCACTTTTCAATTCCATTCCACTTCTCCCAATAACTCATGGCATTAAGTGCAATGGTAATGCAGTTTGACTGCCTTTTTTCTTGTTGTAATGTCTTGTTTGTAATTCACTGCTAACTGGTTCTTATTTTGTCTCTCATCTTAGATCTTTATGCTTTCATCATTGGAAGCTATGTCATTTGGACAGCCATAGCTGGAGCTAGATACTCCATTGAGCACATTAGAACAAAGAGGGCTGCAGTTCTGTTTAGCCAAATATGGAAGTGGGGTACCATTGTCATCAAGAGCTCCATGCTCTTATCAATATGGGTATGTCATTTGGAATAATTTGGTTTTCTACTTGTTCTACTTGTTTCTGAGTTACAGATATTCTAACTCTTAGATCTTTATTGGTGCTGAAATGCGCAGATTTTTGTCATTCCTGTTCTTATTGGTCTGCTTTTTGAGCTCTTGGTGATTGTGCCAATGCGTGTGCCTGTAGATGAAAGTCCAGTTTTCCTCCTCTATCAGGACTGGGCATTGGGTCTCATTTTTCTTAAGATCTGGACTAGACTGGTAAGTGTTATACCACCAATTAAAATGAGCAGCAGAATATTGATCTGGTTATTGTTGGTTTTGCAATAAAGAAGCTAACATCTAGTAAATTTTTAGTTTCTTATCTTGTAACGAGGAGATTTATCCACCCCAAGGATTAAAAGTTGGTTTGTTATTTATGCAGGTTATGCTAGATCATATGATGCCGTTGGTAGATGAAAGCTGGCGAGTAAAATTTGAAAGGGTGAGAGAAGATGGTTTCTCTAGACTGCAGGGCCTTTGGGTATTGCGGGAGATTGTATTTCCCATCATAATGAAGCTGCTGACAGCCTTATGTGTACCTTACGTATTAGCCAGAGGGGTGTTTCCTGTGCTTGGCTATCCATTAGTGGTCAACTCTGCTGTATATCGATTTGCATGGCTAGGATGCCTTGGCTTCAGCTTCTTGGGCTTTTGTGCAAAGAGATTTCATGTATGGTTCACTAACCTCCACAATTCTATACGGGATGACCGATATCTTATCGGTCGTCGACTTCATAACTATGGGGAAGACTCAGCAGAGAAGCAAAGTGAGACAGGGACCTCCTCTGAAACCCAGATTTCTAATCTGATGGGCACTGGATTAATCCGGCATGACCGAGAGGCTGATGTAGGGTTGAGATTGAGGCGTGCTAATTAAAACGATGCCTGATGAAAAGATTGTCGAAAGTTTTAAAAGCTTGTATTTAGTATTGAATGCATGTTTCTAACTATGTTGACAAGCAGGTATACACTTGTTAGGCATGCGGCCAAGAGTCTAGTTACTGGCTTACTTGTCATTTCTGTGCATAGAATACATGTTGACTTAGCAACTTAGGGGCTTGTCTTAAAATTTCAGCGAGTTAGAAGTTAAATAAAAATCTATAGTATCTATTTGTTTATAGAATAGCTCACGATGTTGTACTATCTTTTGCTAATACGGAACATGACAGGCTAGATTTGATTTTCATTCGAGTCTCCTTGCTAGCTTGCTTTTATGTTGTCTCAGATTCCTCTTTCCCGGGGTGCAGGCCCTTGGCCCAATAATTAGCTTGTTACCTTATCTTGTTTTCTCAATATTCGAACTTATGGCTTCAAAAGTTGAAAATCTCATTGAGGAGGTGTCTGTAACCTTTTGAGCGTATAGCAGCTTAGCGGTCTCCGACTGTAATGATATAGCGTTTGAAATCACAGGCCTTTCTTTATTCTAAGCCATAGTTATCTAATGGGGTATTTGATCTAGATATGACGTCCATAGGGAATCAGCAAGAAATTATCGTGTTTCAATTTTTCTTAGGGATACAAACAGCTCATGAATCCGCTTTCTAGAGCAATTAAGGACCATAAGTAACGTGACTCATGAATCTGCAAAATTTTTCATCCCAAAGGCACACAATCAATTCAATCCAACATGTATAAAGCAGTGAAAGTGCATAATACTCCACATATAGCAATAAACTATAAAAGCATGAAAGTAATGGTACCAAAGTTCCAAAGCTCTGAAAAGGTATTAAAATCAAAACCTCCTACCGAAGCACAACTCATTTGAACTCAACAAAGGCCACACACTACCATGCTGTTTAAGGAGACAAGACCCTCGCATGCATTCAATCTCAGGAGACAAGGTTGTCACTTAATGACAATGAGGCCAGTTGTTCACCAGTCTGCTGCTGCTGAGCAACACTCCTCAGAACCTCCATTGCCTCTGCAACCTTGGCTTTTAGAGCTTCTGGTGACTCAAGCAAGTGCAAAACCTCAGTCTGATCCATCTCCAGAAGCATCCCTGTAACTTTAGCTGCCGCATCAGGCTCAAGCTGTTCAACAAGCGGATAGAGATTCTCCCCCAGCATCTGCACATTTTCACCCAATGTAAAAAATTTGAGTTACCCAAAATAATGCGAGTTAAGCTTTTCCCAGAAACTTGTTTGAACCTTTTTACAAACAATTAATAACAAAAAAATCATAGCAATTTTTTCTAGGAAATTAAATGTAAATAAAAGTTCACATCTCAATAGGGGAACTCAAAATAGTTTTTAATTAAGGGGTAAGAAATTTGGATATCTCTTCAACATGGTTTGTGCAACTAAATATTTTAAAATTGAAGAAAAACCCTCATATTATACTACAAGTATAATCTAAACTTGGACAGCATAGCTGTACAGAACATAGAAGTTACAAAAAAATGAAGCAAAGCAGTGCATACCATTCTCTGCTGATCAGGACTAGCATTTGCAAGTGCTGAGGCCAAGGCTCCTATTGGAATTGGCTGAGAAAGTGGCACATCACGCATTGGCATGCCACCCATATCATATGGAACAGAAAGCATGCCTCCAGCAACATTAGGTATTGAAACATCAGGTAGACCACGCCCTGGTGGATAACGATAGACCCGCCCTCGGGGTAGCATCTGTCATTTAAATATCAATCATCAGATAAATTATTTAGAGATGTGACAGTATGCAGCAAAGGTATTATAAAATCCATGAATTGATGAAACAAACCTGCTGCTGCATTAATGGAACAGGTTGCTGACTTTGCTGAACAGCCCCAGCCCTTCTGCCACCAGGACGCTGACCCTGCTGGCCTTGCTGAACCATCGGTACAAAGAAATTTGGCATGGGAGCCCCACCAGGCCTCATACCAGGGACAAGCTGCTGTTGATATCCAAATCCAGGCTGACAAAAAGAAAATCCCATAAGCAATAAATTTCAGAAAACAGATGTACAAATAATATAATATTGATTAATTCAGGAAGTTAAAATATACATCATATGACTAGTAATGCCAATAAATAGAATGTAAAATATATAGTTACCTGAGGTGGAAAAATAGCAGGAGGTGCTTGGCCATAGAATATTTGCTGCCCAAGACCTGGACCACCAGGTGGGTACATTGGCATACGAGGTGCAACTGAAGGTGGCATTGCAACCGGTCGCATTTGAGAAAATTGAGCCTGTAAAAGTGCAGCACATGCTTTAAAAATCCAAACCATCTTTTGCCCAATTACAGTTTGGTCAAGGCCCAAAGCAAATATCAAGACAACATACCTGCAACCTGGCTCTCCTATCTTCCTTTCTTTGTGCTAGTGCAACATACAGAGGTTTGCTAACAATCATTTTGCCATTCATCTCCACAAGCTGTGATAACAAAAAAATGCTATTAGCTTATGATAAGATCATGAAAGTAGGGACAGCATTATCATCTTACAGCTCTAGATGCTTCTTCTGGAGTTGAAAATGCAACAAACCCTGATCCTTTACTTATTCCATTAGGGTCTCGCATAACCTGTCACATTTAAAAATAGGATTCAGCCACCTGATTACCAGAATTGGACGAACTTAATTATTCTAGAAAACAAATAACAAACCTTGCATGATGTTATGGTTCCATATTGAGAGAATAGCTCTTTAAGATTTTCATCGCTTATGCTATCATCCAAATTCTTAACATACAAGTTTGCTCCTTGAAATTTATCAGCTGCCTCTTTCATGGTCTGCTCAAATCGAAGTTTCAGTTCAACTTCCCTTTCAGATTTCTTTTGAGCTTTCCCAACAAACCACTCCTTATCATCAAATTTCTTTCCATTGAGGGACTCAACAGCTCTAGCAGCGTCATCTGCATTCTCAAAGTTAATAAACCCAAAGCACTTGGATTTCCCATCTGGTTCCCTCATCACTACAGCACTAGTGATTGTACCGAATTCGCCAAAAATGTTCTTCAAATCTTCATCACTTGTTGATTCTGAGAGATTCTTTACATAGACATTGTTAAATTTTGTCTTGCTAATAGCAGTGTCTCTTTCCTGCTTGCGAACAAAGGGGCCCACATAGACTTGCTTATCATTCAACAGCATACCATTCAACTTCTCTATTGCTTTTTGGGCAGATTCCTCATTGTCAAATTGGACAAAGCCATAACCTTTTGACTGGCCAGAGGAGTCTGTGGCTACCTTGCAAGAGAGAATGTTTCCGAATGCAGAAAATGTATCATGCAAAGCTTTGTGGTCAATTCCCTTATCTAAATTCTGCCAGATCCAACAAGCATGGGAAAAAAACATAAAATAAACCATATGAGATTTTTGAAGCACGGCTTTATAAGAAAGAGCTGCAAAAGAAAACACATGGTTGTCAAATTTTTATTACCTTGATAAATATATTCCCAGCGCCACTCTTACGGAGACTAGGGTCGCGGTTGGAATACATAATACGGATAGGCTTTCCATTCAGAAGAGTGAAATTCAGAAGATCCAATGCCCTTGCAGCTGTCAGTAAATCCATAACAGGATGTCATGCATGATAAAGAGCAAACATTTATTTTCTGGGATCAGTGGTGGAGGCAAAGTATTAATAAAATATTCCTCAAATATGTAATAAATATAAAACGCCACAGCTTGAGTTGTCTCCACCTTGCTGATAGAGACTAACTTGGTTGATAAATTACATGGAGCCTTATAAGATAACAAAGAAGCATTAGGAAGTAAGGATACACTAAGCATTACTCTCTTTCCATTAGGCTAGGATCCCACATTCTGTTGTGTCTATCTTTAAATTTTCTCTTTTTCTGTCAATTGCCAAGCACTTTCAACATTACATTTCCTGTTTTTCCTTTCACCCATTACATGGTTACCAAAAACGGCCAAGCATATATTACAATATAATGTCTATGGGTTGTTTTGGGAAGATAGGGAAATAAAAAAGAATGAAAAGCCCCAAATAAATACTCACTAAATAAATATTCACTAATTACACCAACCCAAACTGAGACAAAATGGTCTTTGCTATATTTATTTCATAAAAATTCAGAGTTTACATCTAACAGGAGATAATCATCGGTGAAAATATATGTGAAGAACAAACTTTAGAGAAAACACACTCTAAACTTGCATCTTAATTTCCTGCCTAGATCAGCTTGACCATATAAATGTTCAGTTGACCATTTTATTGGAAAATGGGTATGAAAATGCTTCAAGGGACAAATAAGGTCTAAACAATCTATTTGAAATCGCTAATGTGAACGCCTTAACACCCATCAAGAATCTACTCCCATTCATCCATTTCAAATTGAACCAAAATTAATCACCTTTTCTTTCCTTTTATAATAAGCCAAACTATATGCAAAAGTAAAGCTAAAACTAATCAATCATATTTATAACAACATTCTAAATACCAATAGAAGCATCTATCCATTATTAAAAAGGCAAATAAAGGAAAGTAAAACTAAATTTAACTGAAACCATCGAATCTACACTAACCCAAATCATCACGAAAACATAATAATAATAATAATAATAATAATGAGAAAAACCGAAAACTAACCATCTTGAGGGTTGCTATAGTTGACATAGCCATAACCAAGAGACCTGCGGGTTGACAAATCCTTGCAAACCCGAACCGTGACCACTTGACCCATCTGGGTAAAGTACTCATAAAGCTGGGTTTCCGTCACACTCAAATCTAAATCCCCAACATAGAGCGACGTCGTTACAAACTGGTTATTCCCTCCTCCTGCTCCACTGTTAACACTTCCATTTTGCCCCTGAACCTGAACCTGTGCCATCTCTTGAAACAACAGCTAAAAGCACCCAAAAAAACCCTTTTTTTCGAAGTTCTCTTTTTTTCTATCTTTCTTTTTTTTTTTTTGGGGTTTTTTCTTCCCTCTCCTCTTGTTATTAATCAACAATAAATGATACAAGCTAAAACCCAAGTGCTTAGATAAACCTTCCTACAAATGATGCAAACTTTCTTTTTCTTTTTAAAATTTTTTGTTTTTTTTTTGTTTTTTGCAAGGGAGGAGAGGGAAGGGAAAGAAGAGGAAATGGATATTTGCCGCCGGCTGAGCAAGAGGCGGCGGCGCGTGAGAAAATTGTTTGAGAAAAAAAAATAAAGAGGTTGGAAGGAGGAGTAGCAGCTTGAGCAAACAGAACAGAACTGAACAGAGAAGAGTAATATAAGGTAGGAGGTTTTTTCTAAGTAAACCCTAAGATGGATCATAGGACGAGATCTCCGCCGTTGGATTCGGTTTTGGAGAGCTGATTTGTGGGGCCCGCAAATAACAAGGTAAATAAATTCTACTGCTAATTGTAGATTTTGGAGGTGGTTCACGCGCAATAAGAGGTGCGTGTGGGGTAAAATTCTGGTAATCTCATATCACCCTGGGCGGTGTGGTGGTGAAAAGTTCCTTTAAGTGAATTTCACCGTCGGTTCAGCTTTAACATTACCCGCAGCCGCCCGAAAGGTAATTTGAAACGTGAAAGTGAAAGGACGTCTGCCCCTTTCTTCGAGTAATTGTTTTTACTTTTTAGTTTAACCTTATCCGAACAAATTACTTTTTAGGCATTTGTTAAAAATATATCACTTTACGTTCTGTCAAATTTTTACTACAAATATCATACATTTTTTAAAATAGCCTAATATCACACGTTCCTTGAACATTAAAAAAAAAATTAAGGAGTTGTTACAACAAGGAAACTGCACCCAATCTCATGTTTTTCGTTAAACAAACCAATGAGTCAACTAATTGATCACCATCACGATAATTTATCTTTAAAATTATATATTTATAATTTCCTACAGTCTAATATTAATTCAATTTTATTTTCAAACTCCTTAGACATTACAGGACTTAGAATGACGTAGTTGACATATGTTTTATTTTTTATATATATAAATTATAAAATTATGATTTTTTAAATTCAATTTATAAATAAAAATGAAAGTTAGATAAAAAACTAAAAAGAAATATAACCTCTCAAATAGAGATATTAATGGGTTGAAGTGAGAGATATAAGATTTTACATAAAAAATAGTTAATTTTATTTAATTTAGTTTTTATGATGTAACAGTATTAACGTGACATTGACATACTGACATGTTAGTATCATGTGATAGATAAAAAAAATTTTTAAAAAAAATTTTACCACATCATAGGAAATAAATTGAATAAAAATATATATTATAGAAATTAAATTGAATAAAATTAAGATGTTAAGGGATTAAATTAAAAAATATGTTTAAAAAATATAAATTTTTAAGTAGATTATTGATATGCTTATTAATAAGTCAAATATTTAAGTATAAAAGATTTATAATGTTAAAAATATATGTAAATATTTTCTTACTTTATTATTTAATTTTAGAATATGTAAATTAAATTATATTTTTTACAAAAATTAAGTTTGAATATTTCTTCTATAAAAAAAATTTGACAAGAATTTCATACTTGAAGTGAAATTTAGATAAATAACTTGTATTACGTTAACATAAAATAATATAAAATTACTAAATAAATTCTTTTTTCTTTCATTTATAATAGTATAAAAATTTAAAATTTATTCAACTTAGTTTTTAATTTGAGCTAAAGTCAAATTAACAAAATAAGTTGATTTAGTTTTTTTTTTTTTTTAAAATGAAGAACGGATATATGGAGTTAAAGATGATTATACAAATAATTATTCGTTTTGACTTACTTAATTTAGATATGGAAAACCTTATTACAATCATAGAATTTGAGATCCACTATTCTAATTTTTTTTCTTTTTTTATATTTTTATTTTGATTAATATTTCAAGTTATATTTGTTAAGTTAAAATTTCTTAGATTAAAGATTGCATTTATAGTTGATAAAGTTAAATATAACTATAAATATTTGTATCATTTTATTTTATTAACAAATCTTTTGTAGATCCAAATTAATAATTTAAATTTAAATTTAACAAAATTTGATTGTGGTATTTAAATTTAAATAAAACCATTTTATACGAAATTTTAAATAAATTTAAATAAAAAGGTAAATTTGGTAAGAGTTGAATAATTGTAAAAGAATGTATATTTGTAAATTATGAAAGTTAGAACCAAATTAACATTTTTTGCTAATTTGAGTAAATTTAAATAAAAGGTAAATTAGGTAAGAGTTTAATAATTTCAAAAGAATGTGTATTTATAAATTGTGAAAGTTGTAACTAAATCAATATATTTACTCATTTTATATTATTTTATTTTAATGTGATACAAGTTATTCATCTAAATTTGACTTTAGGTATGAAATTTTTTTTATAGAAGGAGAATTTAAACTTAATTATTGTAAAAAAATAATTTACATATTCTATTATCAAATAATCAATTAAGAAAATATTTATATATATTTTT